TTCAATGCATAGTCTGATTCCGGCCTAACAGTACGGTTAGTACAATTTAATCTTCAATGCATAGTCTGATTCCGGTCTAACAGTACGGTTAGTACAATCTGGAGAATCGTAGCACTTTCGAAGCGCGCAATAATTAATGCTGGAATCCCTAGGTGAAAAGGACTAAACGCACGGTGTAAACGTAGCCAATGTTATGGCCTTATGGACTCTACTGTGATTGGTCAATTCGCTTACTGCTTACATTTTACTGCTTAAATTTTTTTTTGTGCCATGGCCCTAATTGGTCAATTTCTTACGACTTAAGGCTTAAAACACTTAAAACATCTATTGTAGATCCGGACTTACTCCGGATCTACAATAGAGTTTTAAGCTTTAAGCCATAGTATAGAAACTTCCTACATCTCGAGGAGGCAATCCACTGGAATGTTAGAACCACAAATTAATTGTGGTATCGTGGATCCTGATTTCTGGATCGTAGTCGGAAATCCGTTTTAGGACATAGAAAAAGAAGAATGTTCGCGTTAACGCGGTGTGATTTTAAGACGAAGTCCGTTTGCGTTGACCAACACCAATTCGGATATAAAACGCAATTGGTCCTCTTTGTCGAGAGCCTCCACACGAAAGGCTTTCAGTAGAGATAAGATGGCCACTTTAATCACTAATGTGGCAAATTTCCAGCCGATGCAATTGCGCGAGCCAGCGCTAAAGGGTATGAAAGCGTAAGGAGGTAACTTGGGACTGTCGGGCAAGAATCGCTCCGGACGATAAATGTGCGGCTCTGGGAAATAACGGTCGTCACGATGTAGTAAATAGGAGTTGATGAGAACTGTCGAGCCCGGTGGAATTTGATTGCCCACTAAAACAGATAAAAGATATTTCATGTAAGTAAGAATTTTTTATGTGCATTACGCGATTGCTGATTGAATAATATCAATAACTATATTCATCGCATTTTAAAGTTGTTTGTTCTAACAATTACTTGATAAAATGCTCGGTACAACGCTTTATTAATATTAATCGATGTGATGATTAATAATTGATGGAATTGGCGGAATAAAGATAATTCTACTTAAGCCCTTTTTCCGGAGATTAGCGCAAATAAACAAGGAATTGATGTTGCTTGCATATAGTTAAATATGAATGGTGTTTCGATTGTTCTGTGATGATGAAAATGATATAATCTATGGAAAAAGGGAATAAATGATTTAAAATCATTAATGAGATTTTTACCAGAGACTGAACGAAAATGATACGACAATAATGTGTTTTCATTACAACATATTTATGTTAAAAAATCTTACGAAAACTCATTAGATGATGATTGAAGATTATTTATTTTGCACAAATAAACGTAAAATGTATTTCATATTCATTTCGTATTTCTTCTAGAAGAATGTGAAAATAAAAAACATTTCTATAGTTCATAATCTTTTTTTCTGTCGATTCTTACAATATTATGATCAATATTCGGAAAAAGGGACTAATTGTAAGAACATTTTTTAAATTGCAAATAACTTTGCAATTAATCATAATGGAGAAATATTATAACATATAATTTCTCAAAGACATTATAAATATATATTTAATACTGTTCCCATTTATGGTATAATAAAAAAGTAACAAGTTATTTTAATTTTTATCAAAATCAAGATTTTGTAATCAGGCCTTTATTCCACCAATCCCCTCAATTGTAATAATTTTGATATACTATTGATTAATAAATATTGAAATGGTGTCCCAGTAAGCAAGAAATATTTTGGAACATTTCAGCAATTGTAGCAATGTTACAACGTTGCTGCAACGTTGTTGAAATGTTCCAAAATGTTTCTTGCTTACTGAGGGGTACGAATATTTTGGAAATTGAAGATATGCGAGGTACTTACTTATTTCAATTGGTTTATAAATTTGCCTTGCTATAAGCGGGGCCACAGGATATAATCTCCACTGCTCCTTGATGCAGGCTTCCAACCATGTTAATTTTTGTATATTCTCCAATGTAATTTCATCCGTGTTCAGCACATTATTGTATTCCTCTAAAATTTTTTCCTAAAAACAAAACAAGAAAGTGCTACAGTTAAATTAATGTTAAAAATATAGAAAAAGATAACATTTTCAATTAGATCTTCTGTATCTTCTTAATTAATTTTAAGAATAATTTAAGAAATACATCTAATGCGGACGAAATGTAAAAATATTATTTTCTTAAGGTTGTTAAAAATTATATCATTATATTTATTAGATTTCATCGTGTATTAGAATTAAACACAGCAGTGATAATACAATATGGAAAGGAATAATACCTGATATTCAGGGTGTCGTCCTAGCGCATAAAGTGTCCACGATATGCTGGTGGCCATCGTATCATGTCCAGCGTACATAAAAGTATTTACTTCTTCACAAATGTCTTCGTCCGAAAGGACAGTGCCATTTTGTGATATTTGCAGTAATAAATCTAGCAGGGCCCGTCTCTTCTTCGTTGATTTGTTGGAGTTGTCATCGCTGTTGAGTTTCCATTCGGCTTTTCTTTTTACGATTACCTGAAGATTAGATTGTTCTAGATATTATCGCGTATTATTTGCAAGTGGAATATTGAGAGTGGAGAAGTATTATAAGTCAGTTTTCTTACTATTCTGATCTAAAATATGTGTTTGAAAATGTCCAAGATTAAATTCATTATAGAAGGAAGTTAAAATACAATGATTTTCTTTGTATAATATACGAGTACAATAAGATGAGAGCACTGAAGAAAAGAGATATTTCTCTTTTTTTCCATTCATGAACATGTAAGTCTAAATTTGAAACGAAAACTGACCTGAACTGAAATTTTAGTGATTAATTTTGTATACAAACTAAATAGTAATGGGACAGTGTTAATCTCTGTTATTTTTGGCAATAATGTTACTCGAGATCTCTCAAAAAACTGGAGCAGCTGTTGAAGATAGCCCGAAAGCTTTAATTATCTGTGTTTAGAATAATTACCTTGTTGACAAACTCCTGTATGATTTGAAGTGAATGATCGTGCTCTTGACCAGTCTTAGTTAACTTGAAAATTGAATCAGATGATAACCATACATTTGTGAAGCGCATCTGCACAATAGATGCAATTCTAAAAATTAGAAATAGATATTTTTCCAAAAAATAGAATTTGATATATGTATAATATATTGTATAAAATTGTATTAAAAAAACCTGAATACAGAAGCATTAAAAAAATCATTAACTTACTTATCTACAGCCTCGACGTAGTCGACTTTGCAGTTCTTTTGCGAATTAAGCTTGTAACCCATCGCAGTATCTGCAATAAAATTGGTAAAATTAAATTACCTGTTAAAAATAATTAGTTATTATTATTAATTAAATTATTAAAATTAAGTTTAGATAAAAAAATTTTGTAATCTCTATATGGAATATTCTAATATATAATATATAATATGATAAATACTGATAAATTTTGCAATAATTCCATTTATTTAATCAATTATAAAATGTATACGTAAGGATATAGAAATTTTAATAAAATAATTGATAATTTTGCGATTATCAAAGCATAAAAGGTGTAACTTTAAATGAAGAAATAGATTTTCTATGAATTTTTAGAAGAATTAATATTATTTATATACATGTGTAAAATGTGTGCTATACACATACACTTTTAGTTTACTGTAATGTATGATTTGGTAAATGTTTTGTTCGTTTATAATATATATACGCGCGTAATCTGTATGTAAAGTACATATGTGCATGTGATTATATATATGTTCTTATTAACATTAATAATATATTAAATATCACTGATTCTTTTTTATTATATTTTATATGCCACTTATTTTATTATTTATATTTTACATGCCGTACAAAAAAATTTTTTGTTACTAAGGGGTGCATTTTTTCTTTTGCCTCGGGCATTGAAACGTCTAATCCTGATTCTGAAATAATTACACAGGGACAAACTTCAGGTATCATGACATCAATGCTTTAAGTTTAATGATACTAAAATTAATCATTTGCGATAGTGTTCAAAATAATAATATGCAATATATCACATAAACATTAATGACAATTAATAGTATATGTCATTGACATGATAATTGACGTTATTCACATTATTATGGTGATAATGTAGATAATACATATATGAAATGTATTTATTCCGCAATACATTTTAATAACGCTCTATCGATCATCGTCGATACATAGTGCAAGAAACCATCACGATCAAGTAGACTTGCAACAAGTAGACGATCGGCGAGCAATAATCGATCGCTCATCTCTTTTTCCACATTCACACATTTTCCTATTACCAGATAATTCAAAATTCTGAATATGAGTCAGATTAACAAAAACATAAGAGAATTTAAAAAATTGTAAAACTAAAGTATATACATTACAAATACTTTCGCGAACAGATATCATTTTACGAATGTAAATAAATGGAAGATTTAAGTGAACTTTATTGCAGCTCGGGTGACTTCGCAAAAGCGATAAAGCTTAATCTGCCCGATAAAGATTCGGTAATAAAGACAGTGCAAATGATCAAGAAAAGTACTCTTTCGCGTAACGAGGACGTAAGGTCGTGCATTGACGATGGCGAAAATCCGCCAATTTTCAAAACTTCTGTTTTAAAATCCACACAGAAGAAGGTTATTTCTATCCACGAATTCTTACGATATAATAACATGGAAAAAACAATTTTGGTGAAATATCTAAAAATTTAGTTAGATATAGAAAGAGAAAATACAGAAGATTTTCAGATCTAGCTAAATTTTTAGAATACTTCAGCAAAACCATTCTTTTTGTAAAAGTTTTGCTGATAACGTAATGCTTGTTTGTTATTATAATACAAATTACGAACATACGAAGTATTATTGATGATATTAATAGCGCGAAAGAGACGTAAAAGATGTGTTTGCGACTGCAGTCGTCTACTTACAAGTGAATAAATAAATCGCAGTGTTCAAGTATTTTAATCGGAGCAGTTGAAGGCTATTGCGGTAATCATTTAGCGCATCGTTTGTATCGAACCCCTTCGTTCGCATTAATATTTATATCACACATTTTTTTCTCGGTTGTATCATTGTTTTTCAAGCGTCATTTATGCAATAAGAATGCGTCAGATGAATTTGTGTCGAATTATAAGAAAAAAATCTCTCGATCTTTAAGTTGTATTAAAAAAACGTTTCCATTATATAGAATACATACAGCGAGGTAATTTGAATAGCGGGGAAATTTGAATAATAGTAAGCAAAAAAAATTTCTTTTAATTTTTGTGTTAACAATTATCAAACAAAAAAATTAAAAAAATTTTTTTTCTTCACAATATTGAAGTACTCTTGAAACCGTACGTTTGTTTAAAAAATTTTTTCTCTCTTTTATCTTTCCGACAATATGGTTTATGTATTAAAAGTTTCTTTTAACACAGCTATACTATAATCGAATATTCTAATAAAGTTCTGATGATGCTGGAAACGTCGTGACTTATTAAAAAATAATTGTTTCCTAATAAAATAATTGTATTCCTAATGAATCGGTTAACGTTTTCATTATATAATTAGGACAAAACAGTTCCAAAATTATTTGGATGAGATTATCGTGCTAGAACGATGGTTAACAACGATGGTTTTTTTATTCTTTCATTCTTAATTATAAACAATATAATTTTTTATTTTTTAGTATAAGTAAATTTTGATATTATATAAAATATTTTTTTCTACAATTATGTAATTTCTGGAACTTCTGTTAGGTAGAGCTTTGACAGTATCCGTGATATATGTATAAATAATTTTCACAAAGTTTTTGAATCAAAAAATAGAATATGAGCTGAGATATTAATAAGTACTTCACAACTACATATTTCGTTTATAATAATTGTATTAGTCTATACTTTCTTTAAGATAAAAAATAGAAGTCATGATTTACAAAACCTAATATTTTTCTTTCAAAATCAGAAACAAGAAGGAGACACTTTGAAATATCCAAAAAAGCAATACATTAATGCAAAAAATTACTGTTTATGTGATAACAAAATTGATAAAAATCTTCCCCGAAAAAAATCCTGGATACGTCCATGATAACCATCGTCGTTAAATTACACTTGATAAAGCTATCTCTTCGATAAAGAATATTATGAAAGGAAAATATTTTCCTGGAGTTGCTACATTTCTACACTATAAACTTAACGCGAAATCCGCGTCTATTGAACTCACCGCATATAATATCAAGAGCGGCGCGTTTTGCATAAGGAACAATGTCGAACCATTTGTCCACTTCTTTTTCAAGGCAGGAAATTAAGACGTTCGTCTCTTCTTTCACGGTTTTCAAGTATGTTTCCAGGAGGCCACTGTGGAAGGTCGGTGTCAATAGCTTCCTGCGAAAGTGCCATTTTTCACCTGAAAGAAAGACCACAATTTTTATTGCGATTGTAAATTTATTCGCAATATCCGCGCCAATATCGAAAATGAAGAATTCTCACGATGTCCTAGGGATATCATGAGAAAATATAGATTTTTTGCTCCCGATTTTCTATGTTTTTCTCTTATAAAAAAGGTAATAGAAATTACCGAATGTCAAAATAACTAATCGTATAAGTGTTCAGCAAATGCAAGTCAATTATACATATACTCTTCATTGCAGATATACGAGTCGAAAAAGAAAAAGTGTCTCACCAGTGCCCCGATTTCCCTTACTATAAGAAAAATCTGCGTAATTAAAAATTACAGCTCTTTTGTCTGAATAATCTAAAATTTTAGATTACTCGCTATCTGAAAAATTCGCAAGAATTAATGAAATAACGACTTTAAAGAAATAACGTTGGTACGCGCGTAGTTCAAACTATATTTTGTATTGATATCCAAAATTAAAAATGAGAAATTGACACTTTGATGCTATAAAGCGCAAACATCAAGATAAAAATATTATTTATATTAAATCAACAATCGTGTCAACAGTGTTAATATCATAATGAATACGGACGCGATAAACAGGAGTTCGGGAGGGCATTTCGAAATTTTACTTTATCACATTCGCGATATATTATGGCTCCTTTGCGAATTAAAAATAAACATCTATTCAAGGAGAATGTATATTTTAATACTGAAATAATACTGAAATTAATGCCGTACAGTACACTAATCAAATAATACATCTGTTCTGTGTGGAAATTTGAAATGATGTATAATTACTTTAGTTATTGCTCGAAGTCCGAAGTTTTTTGCATATAATTTTTACTACATACTTGCGTAATCGACAACTGTTTGCGTGTAAACCCAAGGTGAGAATAATAACAATCAGTAATATTTCCTTTATTCTATTTTTGTAAAATTATATAACAATGTCAGACAGTCTGAATGATTAGATTAATTTGCAAGTATCATCTCTTTTATAATTATTATTCTCGAGGCAATGTAATATCATTAAATTAAATTTAATTGATTTGCAAAAGCAAATGATTCTTATACTTTTTATCGTGTCTTACTGTTGTCAATGCTATATCCTGTAGTGAAAAAGTATAGACGTGTAATAACACTAATTTAGACAGGGGAGGCCGGGGTTGAAAGTAACACAGGTAGATTGTAACAGAGTTTATAATTTTGTAAAAAAAAAAAAAGAGATAATGCTGTAAGAGATTGAACAAGACGATGGTCGGCCTAGCGCCGCTGCAATTGGCGCCATGACAATCATCGCTCTGGGAGCTTTCCCACAAGAGACACAGACGACACAGTTCGGTCTATTCTTATAAGAGACTCTTTAATAAGAGTCGCGACATCCGATTTAAGCCGACTTTTGTAAATAATCATAAAAAGTAATAAAAGGCAAGTGTAAGTAAAAATAGACTATGCATGCGCATTGAGTAAAAGTACTTCACATGCCTTTTTATCACTTTTTCATTACTTACTGACTATCAGAGGAAATAAGGATAGCTTTTGTACAATTGTCCATTTTTACAATTTCAGTGTATAACAGTCAAAGATGGTTTAGAAATTAATTCAATTTAATGACTGATAGGTGGATTAAATTTTGCCCACTTCGTATTTGTGCATAAAATTTCAATATCTAAATAACCATTATTATCGTTAGTCCAATCAAACGTATAAATCTATAGAATTTATTTGAGTTATTTTTAGGATTAAGTAATTTTTATGGTACAAAAATTTCAGACATAATAATATTTCTTCGTATTTGTGTATTTAATTAAATTAAGGATTTATTCGAATCAATGGAATCTAAAAGTCTATTTAATTATGTATTAACAATTTTGTATCTAATAACGCAAATACTGTTTTATATATATATATTAAATAATAAATTATTAATATATGTATAATATATAATAAATAATATATCACATACATATAATAATTTATATGGAAAAAGTAATATATAATAATTTTTCTTTAGATTCCAAAAGTATTATTTTATGTAATTTAACATTTATATCATTTTTTATAACATTTATTTTTGCGTCTATTTGCCCTATAATATTTCATTTAATACAAATTTTTACACATGAACTGGAATAGAAATTAAAATACGTTGCGCCATTCGCGAACGAATCATGATCTATTCATTCACTGCGTAGTATTTATTATAACAAATATATATTAGTGCTATAATATTTATGATATCCCATGCCCAGTGTAAAAACATTACAATGTAATTCGAAGCTGCCATAATTCGAAGTCTCTTTTTCAGTTACTTCGACCAATCACTTTTTTCGATGCGTGGCAATAATTAATCTTTGTTGCGTCGTAATCCCCGACGAAAATAAAAATCGGAGCATAAATCGAGTGTAAGGGCAGAGTAACAAAAATGTAAAAAATTCTTTTATATTTCATTGTTCCAATTTTTGCCTCCTAAAAAGTTTATTTACTTCTGTTACTCTCCTCTTACATTCGACTTACGCTCCAATTTTATATTTTCAGGGATGCGACTTTAATTTGTAAAACGTGAATCACTTACCAGAACTAGTTACCAGGCCCGTACCCAACCAAGGCTTTAAGTATTGATACTCTAGACTTTTGTCGATGTGTACGCTGCTGCTGAGTAGAGGTTGCACCGCTTCTACTCGATACAGAAAGATGAAAGGTCGTAGGCCAACCCAGATCAGATAAATGTCGCCAAATTTGTAAGCCCACTTCATCAACTGCTGGAAGAATTCTGAAATAGACAAATCCAATAAATTTTAGATGAATGCGTAAAATTGTCCTAATCTGGAGACACGGTAGTGTCTCAACGCTAAGCAAGTGCAAGGCGCGAGACACTATCGTGCTCCTTTACTCCTAGCACTGTCGTGCGAGCCGACGAGTTGCGGCAGACTGAGATTATCTCAATAACAACTGAACTGATCAAATTCTATATACATGTTATATATTCCAAGCAGGAATTTTGAATACAAACACATTTTTTAGAATGAACATTAATCTATATATATATATTAATTGATTTATTGAGAAAAACAGTCACGATTGTCACTAATTGGGACACCGTCACTAATTGGGACATTTATTTTAATACTGCCCTAGAAATTCCGCTAATGTTCGGACAGTTTCGTGTTAGCATCATAACGAAGCCTTTATATTTTTATATAATTCGCCAATGCGCTTTAAAGATCATGAAGATAACTCTTCACGCTCAGTAATATTTTTATACAACTTTAGAATTGATTCATTGAGATTTTCTCTACATCGATTATATGTTGCGTAAATATTACAAAATTAATTAATAATTGTTATTATTCTAAATTAATAATATATAATATATATTGTATACATATTTATATATGTGTATACATGTGTGTATAATATAATAAATAATATTATTTTAAACTGGCTCGTGTGATTTCTGAACGAAATTGGTTATCACGGTGAGAAATAAAAAAATAAGAAAAATATCAAGAAGATTAAAATGATTAAAAAAGAGTTCATTTTTTTTGCATCGAAAAATTATCTTTTTTTAACACATTAATATATAATAGTTTCGAAAGGACACGCTTGTGGAGAGAACTTTTCGTATAGATAAATTTTAATATTCTTCTTCATGAGAGTAAGCATTTAATACTCATCGAATGCATATGTCACTTGTTATTGCATTTATGACATTTTCCACGGAGAATCATCTTCAATCATTCTTGCGGTCACCGACCTGCGATGTCGTGCAGAAGTAAACCTACAGCTTTATATCTGACCAATCATCGCGCCGTTATCGCAACTCTAGTGGTACGTTCGGGGAGACGCTATTAGCGCTACTTCTGTCATTCTATCTTCGTTGTTTATTAGACGTAAAACAAGGGTAGAATAACTAGCGTAGAGACTAGTAGAATAAATAGCGCTAATAGCGTCTCCCCGAACGCACTTTAGATCTGCTCTTATTGATATAAACCGCGACTTTCGCGAGAATAAGAATGAAAATGAGAAAACGAAAAAGGAAATTAATGTAAATATAACGCAAGAATATAACGCGATATGAGAAGAGAAATAAAAAACTGGATAAGAGAAAAATAAAGAGAGGAAGAAATATCAATTTAGAACAATTCTGATAAACAATTCTGAATAAGAAATAAATCTAGAACAGGATATTTGATAAATACAACGTATGTGATTGCACAAAAAGAATAAAATGTTGAGCAACTTGAAATAATATACTAGCTTCAGCTTATTGCTATCTGGATAGTACCATAAAAAACAAACTTTGAAATTTTAATGAAATATTTTAATAAATAAAATCTCTTTTTTTAAATAAAACTGAAGAAAGAGGTAGAAGCAGACAAAGAGAGGGGAAAAAGAGAGAGAACAGAAAAAAGAGAAGGACGGATAGAGAATTAAGAACGGGACGGTGGAGGAAGAGAGAAATCGCACTGCACATGCAACGAGTTGACGGCCGACAGGCTGATCGGACGTTGACCGATTGAAAATGGAGTGTGTACCGCACGTGGACGACGAGTGCAAAAAAGCAAGAGAGACAGAAGGAGAGAGGGGAAGAGGGAGATAGAGAAAAAGACAGACAAAGAAAGAAAGGCGTCGCTCTGGAAAGAGCGGAAGATGCTGTCGAAGACCTTGGCGTGCGAGACGCCAGGCGTCCTTCAGAACGGTGGAAGACTCCTTGACGACCTATTTTAGCCCCATTCCATCCTCATTCCTTTCCCATCGTAAAAATACGTCGCGAAATTGAACAAATAAGTATATAATATAATATAACGTGTGAGATACATTGTACATATTCCACATGTGTCAAATAAGTAATCACATTGCACGTAAGATTTTTTGAGCGAAAAATGAATGTCACACACAGTCTAGTTTAGGTTTTAATTTTCGTTTACTAATGCATTTAAGTTTCTTATCTTTTTCTTTAAAGTTGCTCCATCTAATCATTATGTAATTATGTTCCACGTACGTTTTCATAATAAGAACTGCACACGCGTTGAAATTTAAATTAAGATCAACAAATTTAATACTCGGCAGTAATTTTTTATTTGATGAAATCTAATTAATTTTTTCAGTTGTTGCTCAAGGATTTTAATTTCTCGATTTATTGCTTCTTGGAACGATGAGTAAAAAGATAAAATTAGAAAAAAAGAACTATCGATCAGTAATTTCATAAATCGTCGCTTAGAGCGAATAAGTTAATCGACATACGTGTTATATAATCTTGTTTTATGTGATGTTAAAAAATAATTAATCGTCCGACGATGATTTTTTTATCAGAATATACATCTCCGTGTGAAGTGTTGCTACCGCATGTTAATGGCGCTTGTGTCGCCTTTTGTGCCAATAATACTCGGTAATGTTCCTTTGATTGTTGCTATTTATCTATCATAGCGGGCACATGAATTGTGAGAGAGAGAGAGAAAGAGAGAGAGAGAGAAGCGTCTGAATTCTATTATCCTCTCGCAGACGAGGACGTCTGGCCAGAGTCTGGTTCGGAATTATCCCCGACAGGCCAGTCGATCGAATAGTCGGAATTTCGCGCCGGATTTGGGCGTTTCATTTCTTCCGTTTCTTTTTTTTTTTAAGCGAAATCCTACCGTCGATACTTTCTCTTTTTATCCTCTCTCTTTTTCTCTCAAAACGAGAAGGGTTCGTAACGCCATACAAAATCGTATGCAATTAGACACCGCTATTCAGACGAGCGACCTCGACCTGCTTTTTCCTCTTCTCCTTTTTCTTCTTCGCCTTCATTTCTTTATGCCAGACGATTATCATTGGTGAACCGAGATAGCCCAATCACATTTCTCTCCTTTCTTTGTTTTTCATTATGCGCGCGTGTCTTTACGCGAAAGTTTTATTTCGTCTTATATTACAGTAATCAATTTGATTATTTTATGACCGTTTTTGTCAACGTAGTTTTATATCAATGTGGTTTAATTTTAATCTCGGTTCAACTAATTTCATTTTTTTTTCTAATTTGAAGAATTAGGAAAAGATAAAGAATAAGTTGAACCGAGATTAAAGTTGATCTATATTGATAGAAACGGACATTAGTGGAACAACTATATAATAAAAAATCACGGTTTTTTTAATCTTTGAACGGCTGAAAAACATATAGCATGATGCATCATGCGCATGATGCATTATTTGTCCTTGTTGTTCACCAAATAATAAAGAAGGATAAAACGATACATCATACGTTTCATGCGTAACTCAAAACGCATCCTATATATAAGACGATTCGTTGTGAATTTCGCGTCATTTCATCGATACCCGATCCGAGAATTAAATTCCCTATAACGTAAAACTGTCTTCGAGAATTTAAAATGTCCGAGAATTAGTAATGCAACATTGATAATTGCATTACATCATAACGTACGACGGAATTTAATGATTACAGATAATTATACTTAATTATTAATCACAACGTCTATGATAATTTTTTTATGTTTAAAGGTGAAAGTTGTTTTCATTTTTAAGTGATATCGAGAGATAAGACGTAGTAATTTATATTTATTTAAATAATAGATGTGGAATGTGCTAAGTATGTTCTCGATATAATGCTAACGTTGCATTTTCTATATATCTTATTATTAGAAGAAAAGAAAAGTGAATGTTATAGTGCAACATTTGTTCTTACATAATATTTAGGCTTATTCGATTAATTTCAACTGGATGCTACGAGAGGCAAATTTTCAGCGATCATCATTAAGAACAGAGGATTTGGAAAGGTCAAAAGATTGATGTTTTTATTTTTGCAGGTTATTGTAGTGTTACTTCAAAAATGATCTTTAGGAATAGAATGCCGTTAATTTATTAAAAAATTTATAAAATTGCGGAAATGAAAATTCAATAGTGCAAAACCTGTTTCGATGTGGCATGAAATTCGGTTTTGTAGCACGCTGACAAACAACAACTGCGCGAGACGATTATTGTAAATCCTTCTTTAGAAAACTCTATATGTATGTATAATATGTATTGTAGGTTGTAGGAAGTCTCTTTTTAGAAAACTTTATAACAGAGGGTGTATTTAAATAATAGTACTGTCAGCGCCGTAGTCAGTTTGACCACTCCGAGAGTGATAAATGGCATTATAAGTTTCATCTTGGGTTATTTATAGAGATTGTCTTGATCTGCTCTGAGTTGACCTGTATTCGAAAACACATTTCGGAATAAACATAAATTCCTAGCAAATTGTATTTAATCGTTCTCATTTGATGCCCGTTTCTACCAATGTAGATTAATTTTAATCTTATTTCAGCTTATTCTTCATTTTTTTCGAATTCTTGAAATTAAAAAAAAATAAAGAGTTAGTTGAACCGAAACGGGCATCAAAGCAAGATTAAAATTAAACTATATTAATAGAGCGGGCATCAAAGCAATCAAATTCATTACGGTTGAAAACCCTACAATTGTTCAATATTTCAGAAACGTATTCATATCAATCAAACATTTAAAAAAGTTTATATAAACTTGGGTATGGAAACATTTTATTATTTAACAATATAAAACAATTAATGGAACAAGTATTAAACAAGACACAGTTTAATGGAAATAAACAAAAACAAAAATACATAAGACAGAACATTTTGTTACAAAAATTGTTCATTAATATTTATAAATGGTCACTTTCCTAAAAAACGTGATAGTCATAGAAGACTTCACTCTGTTGCATGATAAACTGCTCGATTTGTTATGCTCGAACTTTGAACTCAATTGATTTTTATATTTGAGAGCATTTAAAGTTCATGAAGTTTTAAGAGAGTGTATCGTAAATGAATGTGTAAGCAAATATTTATGTAAAATTCTATATCCAGGAATATTTAACAGAGTATAACAAAGTATGAAACGCAGATTCAGAGAATGCATCGAGGCTGGTGAAGACCATTTTGAATAATTTTTGGAACAAAATGTTCTGTCTGTGTTTACTTTATATTTAGTTGTTTCTTTTAAACTTTGTCTTGTTTAATTCTACTACTTGTTTCATTAAGTGTTTTTGATATTGTTAAGCAATAAAATTCTTCGTACTTTAGAAACTAAGTATTTCTACGTTTATATGTGAATCTTTTTAATGTCTTGTCGGGAATTTTGACACTGATCATTCAAATATATCTTGCACATCATATGTTATATAGGGTTTTCTAAAAGTTTCTTCAAGCTAATTGTATACTGTTTAAAAAACATGCATATAAAATTTTATTTAGAAACAACAATTTTAAGCGCGTTTTTCCGAAAATAACATTTTTCAAAAGTTTTGCTCGTTACTCGAGAAGCAAAATAAAACTTGAACTTAATAGAAATTATCCATTATACTAGTATCTTTCTTTATTGACTAATAGCGTTTTTTACTAACAGAGTTGGTGCGCACTCAGTGCACATTAAAGCTATTGTATAGTAATTCAATCTGAATGTAAAAGTGAGATATTTCATCTAATAAAATACCCAATGTATATTTTATCAAATAGCACAATAAAATGCACTGAGGATTTCGAGGTTTAATTCGTTTCTATATTTTTATTAAACGTAAGGTAATTCGAGGGAAGATGCTACAAGATGTTACTTTGTTTATAATTTTTTTTATAAAACGCGCATTGGCCATACTGTGCAAAAATGTGTGGTAAATAGTTGCGCAGTTATCGGCAAAAATGAATATGTTCAAAAAGAAATATGTGTCTATGTCGATTGGAAAAGATTATACAAAATACGAAAAGGTAGGTCGTGAAACATGCTCTTTGTAATCTTTGGTTAATAGCTCAGGTCTGTATAATGCTTACTGTGTAAAACCGGGCAAATGATATACGGTTTTGATCAGTTTTCCTTGACGGTCATGTGGCTAATATAGATTATAATTCGTAATATTCTTATATGCGTAAAAGTTGCAATTAAATATTCCTCTTACACTTGGGGATAAGATGACAGTAAATACAAAACAATTTTTCCTACCTGAAAAATGCCCGGCATTAAAACGATTTTATGAATTAAAATTTTGGATCTATATAAAATTTTGGCTTTATATAATTCGAAATATTTTAAGTTAATGAAATGCTGTTTAAACGAATAAAAGTATGTCTTAACTTACTTCCTAAATAACCCTCTTTTATATTTTCTCAATTTATGTTTTATCATACCTTTATGTATTTTTATAACTTAAACTCTTGATTATGGTCTGTAAATATATAAATAAAATATGTAAGTTTATATTGCATTACATTATTTAATTGTTTGTGACATCTTCTCCCATAAGAGGCGGCATCTTATTCATATACATATATAGGGAGAAGATGCCAATTTTACAAGGTATGACCTATCAATTTTTTCCAATAATACGGAATATTAAATGTTAAATTTGTGTAAATAAAGAAAGGTAGAATATAAATAACATTTTTTATAACTTAATTCAATAACATTTAAGAAGTTATTCAAGAATAAAGGCTTAAGTGTGGCATCTTCCCTCCAATTACCTTACATCTTTACATCGATTTGTGTACAACGGCTTTAAAGTGCACTGAGTGCGCACCAGATCAGTGAAAAACGCTATTAATCCACAATGAAATGTCTAAAAATTGTTTTGTTTCCATTATTGCTATAAGTAGTGTCAATTTTTACGCGAAAATTGGATTGAAGTTTTATGTTTTTTTATATTATTATAATATTTTATAATAACATTGTTCTAATAGTTTACTGTAAGTTCAATTTGTAGAGAAAAATGTCTCTAAGGGAAACTAAATCAGGAGATGGCAAATTGCTTTTTTCAAAGTCACAGAATCGTGACAAAACGAGAAACATTCGAAATTTTCGGGCTGTATTCAATGACAAAAAAATTTTTATATTTTTAATAAGTTGTATTACAAATTAATTTTCTACATCTCAAATATAATAATAAATGACATCTTATAAATAGGGAAAATAATGTCCATTTATTCCTTTCTCTGAAATAAATTCGCAGATTTCAATTTGACAAACCTACCTCTTCAAAACGAATATGAAGTCACACCTAACTCCTCTTTTCTTTTTAAATATTTTTTTAACAATAGAATATTGATGTTACTTACTGAAGTAAATCTGTTTTTTTTGTCCTTTTAACTTTAATGTTATTCAAGATATTTTCACGCTGATTTATATGACAAAGGAATCCTTTACATATGAAAAATGCAAACGTCTCATGTCAATAAAGATTCATTGCTTTTCAAATGCGTTACGCGTCATAAGACAGAAAATTGCACTGCTCTATTAATACTTAGGTCAAATGCTTCGATGTGTGATATTTGTAATATCAAATAACAAAGTAAAAGAGAGTTATTTTAAGAAGGTTGTAAAGGCATGAAACACATATAATATTTACGCTTTAAACTACATACATGTGAAAGTTGTGTTCATAATATTCTGTTTTTATTGAGCAACACATTTTTATAGATTATTTATTTTATTTGTTATTAGTTTTATTGTTATAAACACAAATTTTAAAAATAATAAAAATCTGAATGTTTTTATATAAATATTTTAAGTACTAAAAATGACTTAGGCAAAGTTTTATTGAGATTCACCAATTAGTAAATAAATATTTTTTTATTTATTGAACAACTAATGTCTGCATCTCAATGTAATTTCACATAAATATTCTTGAATTCATAAAGTACTTATATAAAATATATTTTATCAGATAAACTTTCAAATTCGATCTTTTCGTCTTGTACAAAAATATTATTTTTTTATTTACTTTTTTACATAAATAATCATTTCTTTCTCAACTAATCCTGTATATACAACTTAAGTTACAAATACATTACGATATTTTTTTATATTTTGTTACTTTCAACCTTTAGACGAAGAAGTATTATTTCGATTGTTACACAGGAAAAAACAATTTTATTGAAGTATCTAAAAATTTAGGTATATACAATAAAAATAATTTTATTGGACTGTTAAAATAATTGTGTAGAAAACAATCATAATGAGCAATACTGCAAAAAGTTTTAGGCCCAGTTGCACTAACGTTACTTTGACTTTAAGCAAGACTTAAAACTATCTCTGTCTCTGTCTCTCTTTCGCTTTAAAACGAGACAGAGGGAATTTTAAATCTTGCTTAAAGTCAAAGTAACGTTGGTGCAACCGAGCCTTAACAATCTGACAACTAACTTGAGAGTTCTGTATAATTTGATAATCCAACAAAATTATTTTCAGATCTGTATTTAACTAATTTTTTAGATACTTCAATAAAAACGTTTTTTACGTTGTACATACAGTTTTCCTCGTAACAATATTTTTTATGCAACTTATTCGGCAAATAATAGCGGCATCGACGAATATCGTTTACATTTATTTTCAAACACGATCCAACACTTCGACAGTCATGCATCAACATGTGTTATGTTATTACATTTAAAAAACGATTTTGTTAACATCCAAATATTTAGATCTTTTTACACTCTACAACTTTTGCCTGAAACATTTTTCTATAAAATTTATATTTTCCGAGTTATTCATGGGTGCCGACCTTTTTTCCTAACCCGATATAATTATTTTGATAGCCCAACAAAATTATTTCCAGATCTGTATTTAACTAATTCAGCAAAATGCTTCTTAGCACGTATAGAGAGTACGGATATTTAAGAATGAGTGTGGCAAAACGGACAACGCACTGATCTGCAATGCTAGAGAGAGAGAGAGAGAGAGAGAGAGAGAGATCCCGGGTTCGATTCCCAGCAGAACCAACAATATTTTCATACGCTCGTATCTCCTCTCGGAAGGCAATGACAAACTATCGGAGAGAGTATCTTTGCCAAGAACATTTCTCTAACAAAATTTCGTCGTTCGGAGTCGACGTTAAAATTGTAGGTCCGATATGACTGATATGACTGTGTACAGCGTACGCACCACAGGTATATGATAGAGGGTGCATTCCGAGTTACGCATGAAGCGCATGATGCATCATTTGTTCACCAAATAATAAAGAAGGATAAAACGATACATCATGCGTTTCATGCGTAACTCGGAACGCACCCAGAGAAATTACGATCTAGGACTTACCTTCTTGTGTGCAACTGAGTTGATAAGCATTACCGATGATCGGCAACGCGGTGGGATAAGGTACATTCCTCAAGGCAATTAAAAACTTTGCCCTCTGTATTAACAAGGTCAACAAAAGAGACAACAGGCAGACCGATAAGAAAATGGTCAAAATAGACCATCCTCCCAGAACTTCAGCAACCATATTTTGCAACCTGTAATGTTCAATCGGTCGTATTAATACTCATTATCCCTTTCTCAACAGAGCAATCGCAAAACAAAATTTTTTGAATCTTTAGAAAAGGTCAAGCACTCTTCTTGAAATCTGCAGAATGATCACGAATCTTGTCAGTGTTTAAGAGCGTATGATCTTTCTAAACATACAACTTTAGAAAAGATCGAGCGTTCTCACACGAAATTTGTGATATTTTCCGCAAGTCTCAAGAAAAGTTATTCAATCTTTTTGAAAGCTAACAAGATCCAATCAGAATTGCGTGAGAAAATTTAATGTGCGATCGTCCTGTTGAGAAAAGAATTCGGCAATAACGAGGAACGAGTAAGAAGAGGATCGAGCACATACGATTCACGAGAGACGTTGGCAGATTCAGTCGGGATTCTCTTCCGCGATAAGACTCAATGTCTCTCAAAGTCTCAACTCTTTCGCCGCAGACGATCGTAGAGCGATCGAATCGTATCGCAGATATGTTCACCGGCTGTAAGTGAAAAGTCAAATCTTAGACACAAGTACGCTTTGTACCGGAAAGCGGAAAACAGTCTGGCGATTACCAAGTCCACCAAAGACACCGTGGAAACGTGAGAAGAGGAAGCGCCGATTTTTCAACCCCGAGAGTAGACTGAGCGGACCAATACACACTAAGTTACACCGTGATACCTCGTTATGCCCTGCGCTTATAATGAATGATCAGTGCGGAAGAGTCGCCCTTATATACTACTGGATTGTACTACAGCGGTCAGCAACTAAGTTCTTCCACCAATAGAATGGCGAACACGCGTACGTGTGTGTTAAGCTGCGTGCCACACGCTCGCAGATCGAAATGTGTATTCGTAAACGTGTGTTACGCTGAACGTCTGTTACGTGCGTATACGCGAGCGAACTCGTAGAAATACATTGGAGTCTGAGTTCCGGTCAGACGTGAGCGCGATTCCACCTCCCTCCTTATACCACTACATACAGTAACGATCTTATCCTCCTCTCAGACTCGAGTATTATGACACGTGAAAAGAGAGGGAAGAGACAAGCGAGTGGAAAAGATTTTTTCGCCATTGTCACTGTTATGCGAATCGGCACTGCGTCGGCATGTGTAGACGGTGTTACTCATTATGCGCATGAATCTTCGCCTTCTCGTCGCGGAGAACATTCCGCGTTTCGCACTAGAGCTGTTACTTTAATTTGACTAACTTCAAAGATTCAAAGCTTCGATTCTTCGAAACATCGAAGATTTTAACGTCGAAGCTTCGAATCTTCGAAGCTCCGAAATTCGAATGTCGAAGCCTTTGAAGCAAATCACCGGTCCATTTCGTCAATCAATGTACTATATATAGTTTAAGAGATTTTGGCCAAACCTTAATATTTTTAAATGTTCTCCTCAAAATTTATAAATGAACATATATTTTAATAATAAAAAATATTTCTTATAACATTTTTTAATATTTTGAAAATTAAGGCACTTTTACACCGTACGTGTTTTTAAAAATGAATTATCCAATTAAATTTTGTAGTAATAAATTTCAATGAACAATTTAATATATTTATACATATGTACTCATAATATACTGATTTACAATGTAATCCTTATTGCCTTCCTCTAATCAGATTGCGAATAATTTTTCATATTTAAAATGATGCATGCTAAAAAGAATTAATAATAACTATTTATTCGGCAGCTTCTGGCAGCTAGATTTTGAATAAAACTGATCACAAAAAAACATTTTACAAAATGTCATGTGAGTTTATGTGAACAAAATCAAGCGATTATTTGTATGTTATATTAATTATTATATTATTATTACGCGACGAAAATTTGCACTAACGTTGTGTATTATTTAATTTCTCTGTTTGTATAAGTTTTGATTACTAATTTTTTATACAATAGTATAGTAAATACCTGTAATAAGAATGTGTAAAAGCTTTGTGAATAAATATTAATCTCTTGACATATTTTATAGTTGCTAAATTTTTACTAAATGAGAAAAAATAAATAAACGAATCTCCCAGAGCAACGAATTTTGCGTCCTATATAAATCAAAGTCTTAAACGGTCTAACCGGATCTTAAATGCTTGTATGATTCTGTGTGAATTTATATATTACGTATGTTCACTACTAGACCGTTTAAGACTTTGATTTATATAGTTTGTATTATCACATATACGGTCCTATATTATATTGTCAATTATAAAAAAACCGATAAGTTCTTTGATTTATACTGACATGTGTTATATCTTTCAAATTCTATACATAAAAGATCCTATTAAAAATTCCGGAAAAAATGACCTTTTGATTAAAATTTTGTCCTCTCTAAACAATAGTGCGGTGCGGACGTAAAGAAAAAAAATGCACAGAGCAAAGGGGGATTCCCATTCAGCACAGAACGTTGAAAGAATGTTGCTGAGATGTTGCAATGTTGAATGTTAAAATGTCAATGTTTTATCGATGTTGTTTTATCAATATTGATTCTTCCACATTGATTGTTAATGTTGCTGCAACGTGTTGAACGACATTGAATAAATTTTATCAAAATCTATTTTATTTTGTAAAAAATGAACAATAATAAAATATCATGTAAATAGAAAATTTAAATTACCTAAATTAATCTTTTAACGAAACTCGTTTCTAAACTGTATATGTTTACGAGGGAATCGGCCGCGCGTGCAGAATGCTCGCATGTGTGGTATTGTTTGTGTTTGACCAGTTCGATGCACGCACGACATTGACTCGCGTTCTTTCTACATATCTATTATATGTCACATTCACTAATATTCAGTGTTCGTAGATCATTGAAGTAGCAGGTCCCGTATAATTGCAGAGGTTCAGCACCGTTGGATGGGATACAAGATTGGATGGCTGGACCGCTTAAGAAAATAAGAAAATTAATTCCCAAATGAGGGGAAAGCGTTTCTTTTTCAATTATAATTTTGTCGTGTGTGTTCCGGAATATGACATTATTCCTATCTTGATAAAAAAAAAACGACTTTATCGTAGGAGGTGTGATGATGCAAAATGTCCCTAATAACAGTGAAGGGTGCAAATTCACACACAGTAGCGGTTACAGGGGAGGGGGTGGAGGGGGCGACCGCCGAAGCCTCGGTTTGATGAAAGGAGAACAATTTCTTGCGGCTTAAAGCTTAAAGTTTGACACAAAGTTTTACATTTTAAAATCTTATTGTAAACGCCGTTTTATAGAGAATTGAGCATAGTATCTCTCTTCAATTCTATCAATATTTATCTTCAATTCGATACTTTAGAAAGAGAGCGATATATTTTGAATTATCACCTTTTTCTAAACTGATAGTGACACTTTCATAGAAGTGAGGAATCAATTCTTACTTAGTCTATATATCGATTGTAGAATTAAAAATGACAGTCGCAGCAATCATATTTGATATGAATAGGAACGTCGAAAGTGTATATCGACAGTATCGTAATTATATTTTCACGCAGAAGTGTGCTGATAATACAATTTAAAAATTGATAATTATATATTTATTTCTATATAGATTAGATTACGTTTTAGATTAGATTTAATATTTATATGTACATGTTACTATTTTATAATTTCTGTAAAAATATCTCTTATGAAAATAAGAAAAGTTTCAATGAAACAAAATTGTGCAGCTTGTGGCAAACATGTTTTGCCGAATTGCGAAGATACGTAACGTAACGATTGCGAAACTCGAAAGTGAATGACGCCTTCATGTCACAGTTCTCATATTCGCATGCTTGTGCGCATAATATTAGGCCTGTTCTTTTTAATTGAACTTCTTGCACGGTTCATCTTTTTTGTTTTTCTCTCCAACGTGGAGAGAAAAGGAAGAAAGATGAATCGTGCAAGAACTTTAGTTAAAAAAACAACAGACCTATTTGTAACTTACGATTTAAGTCAATGTACTGGTTTCCGTCTTGCAAGAAGAAAGAAATTTTTACAAGCAGTAAGATTTTGTTAAAGAGAGAAGAGCGACGCATATTCTTATTAATACGTATTTGATTAGTCTTTATATTTGTTATGACATAAGAAAAGAAAAAAACAGATTGTGATGATAGTAGGTATTCTTACTCATGGTATTACTCATGGTAGTAAGTATTCTTTGGATGATGTTTCATCATTGTGTGCGATTTTCAAATTGATTGCGAGATATTATTTTTGCAGCTAAAAGAGACAAGTGGATTGATCGTGAAACTTTTACTATTAATCACCATGTATTAATATAGTAAAGGTTTATCTCCGATAAACACTCTGATCACTTGATTGTCATGGCATTATACTAGCTCTTGTTTTTATTTAGAAAATTATTATTGAGTTACATCTGCGTGAATATAAAATTCCGAGCGTCTAGACGTTCGCACGTGGATTGTTACTTGTGCATATTCTTTTTTTATTCTCAATCCATTATTCATGACTCACGCAACGATCGACTTAATCATAGATTAATTCCTGTATGAAACTGTGTATTTAAAAAAAAGATTTAGTTTGCTTTGAGTAACTAGTTCCGACAAGATGGAATCATTTCGGAAACGTACCGGTTTCAAATTGATTAAATATATGATAAATATTGATTACAATTAATTATACTACGATATTGTATGAATATATCAAATATGTAAAGAATCATGGATTAATCATGTTATATAAATAAGATTATCCGACAATAAGTGAAAACATTGATTCACTGGGTCAACAGAGTCATTTCGGCAAAAAAATATCGATTTGATAAAATCATTGCAAAGTCGGTTATTTTCGTATGTTCGTCGTAATAAATATTAAATGAATACGATATTTCTCTTTGTATTATTTAAATAAATGTTTTTACTAATATTTACACAATTTTAATCCGTTATTTGTTTTACATAAAATACATTTAAGGGGATCCTAAAGCCATTTGTATTACCAACTAAATCATATAATTTTTGTAACAAATAACAAATACTTTTTTCTTTTTCACAGAAAATCCTTTTCCAGGATCAAAGTATACGTATTAATACGTGTTTGTGAGGTGGAGTTTATGCCGAGAGAACCACAAAAAATTTCGAAATTGATATATTTTTTACCATTTCTTAGTGTAACATCGTCTCAAGCTGCCAAGTCGTGATAATATTTGTTTGATACGAAAGTTCTATAACCTGTACTTACGAAATAATAATCCACAAACACGTAGTTTGCACGAACAAATAACGTCGAGTTCTTAGAATTAGACTTTTGTTAGACTCTTCATCTAGACCAGGCCTGGAGCTGAGTTGCTTGATTCTTTTTGAAAAACGTCTCGTTGCTTTTAGTTTAATCTTATGTTTGTAAACAATTGGTATTTGTTATCTGAAAGAAATAGAAATTCTACCTACAATGAGTTAGCTCGTCACAACTCGTAACTTCGGTGAGACTTATGTCCCGTTTGTATACCGCGTAGCCTTGTAATTTTTCAAGTTTAATCTCAAATATGGCGTGCAACATGGAAATGCCTTCTGAAATATTCCCATGATTGAATGTAATAGCATAGCCGCAGAAATAAATAAAAATTTTGAGATAAATTGAACTAGAGAAAACGGCGCTGAAAATTTTTCGAGTCGCCAGAGGCTACTATTTACAAATAAACACATTTAACTCATAAAATACGAACGAGAAACAACTTTTTGCACTTACCTCATTCAACACATGTCTAATCTTTAGAACTAGAAAAAGATGAAGAGTAGGTTGAACCGAGATCAAAGTTAATCTACATTGATGGAAACGGGCATTAGTCGTGTGGTTAATCGCGCACGAACTATGAGTATTAATGTAAAAACGTCACTTCTCACTTTTTTTTTGTAAAAATTTTCGAGGGGAAAAAATCGAAGTCCTTGGGTGTACGTAGGATTTTTGCGATATATTGAAAAGTTTTTTTAAATTAAAAGATGAAATTTTTTGGTCAAAAATGTTACTTTTTTTCAAACATTTACCATTTTTACAAAA